ATCGATTCTTATCGATTATCGATTCTTATCGATTATCGATTCTTATCGATTATCGATTCTTATCGATTATCGATTCTTATCGATTATCGATTCTTATCGATTATCGATTCTTATCGATTATTGCTTCTTATCGATTGTCGTTATCATAGTTATTGCTTTTTACTGATAAAACCGATGCGTTTCTGACACTTGCTGAGCAAAATCAAAATAGAAAAACTGAATTTGTAGCAAAGATAAACTCATCATCTTTTTTTTTCTTTTCTTCCTTGTATCAGAGAACTACAAAGTAAGAGATAGCCCTTCTCGCATATGCAGGTGTATATATATATGTATATGACTCTAGTTCAATTTATTCTTCATAACTTAGTCAGTTTTGATCCAAATTTTATAAAAGAACTACCATAAGACTCACAAGATTTCGGTCTACTCACAGATGTAAAAACAGTTCAAGACTCTCACAGCGGAACCTTCCAAAGGACTCGATCAAAGTCGGCACATTTTTTTGCTATTTGAATAATATTAGCATACGTCGCTGAGTTTGATCGAGTCCTTTGGCAAGTTCCACTATGGAAGTCTTGAACATTTTTACGTTTGTGAACAGACCGAAATCTTGTAAGTCATCCAGTAGTTCTTTTATAAAATTTGGCCGATAATCGGTAGACGATAACCAGTAAGACGATAATCGAATAACCGATCATTGGCGCTTACCGATGATCTGTATGACGATTAAAGATCCTTAGTACGAAAAAAATCGTGAAGTGGGCGCTTGCATTAGGATTAAAGGCACGGTTTCAATGTATCTTTTAATCTAGCTGCAAGTAGGCGCTGCAACTAGATTTTTCTAGCTTACATAATGTTTTACTTTGAATCAAAAATTCTCTTTCAGACAGTTATATTGTAATAAAACTCTTGGCGTAGATACGATAGAGCTTTCAAAAAAAAACAAAATAGTTAGCGATATTCTTCCATATCTCAACGGGCACAGGAATAGAACCGAAAAGGCTTTTCTTTCTGTTGGAAAGTTAACTACTTTGGAACTTCGGAGTATTTTTCGCGCGACTATTCACTTTTCTCATCTTGTACTAGAACACATGTGTTTTTTGTAGAGAGCTTCTGAGCGCATCTTTTTCGACAAAAAAATAAGAACTGTGAATGCAAGAGAAAAAGTTATGAGGAAAATATTAACTGATGATCCAATACCGATTGGATAATATAGTGAACAAACTAAAAAACATTTTTTCACAATTCTATACTGAAATTGTCGTGCTAACTGAGAATTTATATATAACACTAAGCGTAAGGTGTTTCATCCTTAGTCTTACCTTTTCCTCTATGCGAAATTCTTCGGAATTAGCCGAAATTTCTAGAATTCTGGATCAAATTGTTTGTCTCCGTCGTTTAATTCTACAGTTTTCTGACTCGTGAATAACCAATCGAGATTGGATCTATACAGAGCTTTTTAAGGCAACTAAGGAACTTAGTCGTCTTATAGCAGTCATGCAATGTAAAATAATCTTTTGGTGTTTGTTTGGTAAAAAAGAAAGAGCAAAAAAGTAGCCGAATGATTCACAGGATGGTTAATCCTAGAAGCTAGATAATTCCGGCTAATCCTTTTACTAAACGGATAAAGTAGAACATGAGCTAAAGGTGAACCAATGAAGATGCGTTTTCTGATTTTTAGTTCCAGTAGTAAGATATAAGTACCAGAGGTTGGACCTTTGGAAAAAAATCACCTTTGAAAATTTTGACCGTCTTTTTTCCTATTACGAGAAAGAGTGTACAGGCGTAGAAGAGCAATAGAATCGAAAAATGAACCATTATCGGTTCTTAGTTCCCAGTTTAAACAAAAAATAATAGAAACAGAGAAAGAAAATAAAGTGACGAATCTCATACGTTGTTGAGATGGTAGAATTACTTTTAGCAGTTCAATCAGCAGCAGTATAAGAATCGCGTTTTCAATCAAGGTATAATGGGTCAGGTACAGGTTTACTAGCTCATGTTAGATCCACTTTAATTTAGCCGAATATTAGTTCATCAGCGTCATGAGCACATCAGAAGCTCAGAGCCCATATACTCATCTTTGTAATTGCGGATTACCTTCTAATTTGTAGTTTTCATTCAAAATCGAGAGATCTGAATGCGTGTCAAGTTATAGAAATGAACAGCTTCAACAAGATTTTTCCGACGCATTTGTAAGAGACGGTGAAAAACTTTTAGACGCAAAAAGCAATGTTTAATCGATTTTGGACTCATCTTTTAAAAGTTGATCTGTTGAAATATAGGAAATACCTATAAATAGTTTGAGTTGAAGTTTCTCAAAAGTTTAATACTATTTGTTTGCAAATAAATAATGAAGCTTCGTCTCTCCGTATACTGAGTCGTCAGATAATGCCATCTTTTTTTGCATCGTACAACCTAATCGATAACGCTGATTCGAAAAGGGCAATTTTCAAGAAAATCGCTCTTCTAGAGAAAAATAAAGACGATGGATTTTCGATACGATTGAAAAGCTGATCCCGCGAAATGAGCTATTAGTATTTAACAATACCTTTGCTAAACATTACAATCAATAAAGTTATTTAATTACAATTACTCAATTTTTCTATTAACAAACGACAACTTATACTACACTTATATACATATCCCGAATGTTTTCTTCGAGACAGTCTGCTTGCTTAGCTAGCGAGCTTGCACAATAAAAACAGTTATTTCATGTAGATAATAGCCTCTTAAACATCTGATTGACATGGTTCGTTATTTAACATTTGTTCTTGTTGCTGTTGTCGTATTCTCTGTTTCACTTCAATTTCCTGTTGCCTTTTAGTATAATTTTCTATCAGTTTGTTCACCACATGTATCGCAACCACATCATTAACATTTTGCGATAATAAACGTATAATTAAAACACCGTCTTGCATCAAATACCCACGCGTATATTGTTGAACATAATCATCATCTTCAGAGCGGGTTGATGATAATCTATATAAATGCGTAATGTACGATACTCGATCGCCTTCGTATAGTATTTCATAAATAGTAACAATGAATGATAAAACATTTCGAATAAATACGTAGATAAACCAGAACCATAGTACCATAAATACTTTTTCGTTTAGCATGTTTATGGGAAGAACGCATTGTACAGTATATCTGTGTACAATTCCTATTTCTCTCACTCTCAAATCACATAGTGTCACTCTGGGAAAATATGATGAATCTTTGAGTACATTTCCAGACAGTATTGTATTCCATACATCGATTCCAAACAACCATGACTCTTGACCAAGAAATAGATTTAACAAACATAATTGCATGAATGAATTTAATAAATACAATGATTTAACAAACAAATTTAATGATATGAGATAATTTCCCATTCGTTTACCAGATGTGCATGATACGATACGTAAACATTTAATAAAAAAATTTGAATGCTTCAGTTCTGTTGTCGGTGAACAATATTGTTCGAGAGTGTCGACTAATGCAGGCACATTTTTCGAATCATGACCGTGATTAACAAAACTTTGTATATCGATACCTGATCGAGTGTTCATCGAACGCCATAACATACGAGGAAGATAAAAGAACAGTGCCATAAGGTAGAGAATAATGGCTGTCCACTGATAATAACCTATAACGGATAATGTTAATCTGATAGTGTCTATATAAGGCGCGTGTATCTGATCTTCTCGGCCTGGCCAGCTAACTCTACCTGCGTACGTAATTCCGTGACGTTTTTCTATGATTTTGTTTTATTTGCAGAAATTTTTGAAAAAGTCAGAACTCAAAAGTAAATAAACCATTTTGTAGACAATT